TCTCATGTAGGATTATGTTCTGTTGGAAACCTAGCATGCAAAATCAAAGACAGATGCATCTCATCTGAAGTAAATCTCACATCCAAAACTTTGTTAAAAACACATAAATTAGAAACTAGTAACTGAGTTTTTTAAGATGAAAGGAAACACCAGAAGATTTTTCCACAGAACTGTAGTCAATGTTTCACTCCATCTGTGAAAACGCCAATTTAAATGGTTAAAATTGGAAATATGCAACCAGAAGTGATTTACGATGGATACGCAATTGATCTGAAAAGATTGTGATTTAGGGGGAACAGCCAGTGTATTGCCAATCATTTCCTAAAGTCTCCAAGTACCAAATGATGCTGCCACACGTGACGCCAAGTCGTTCCTCAAAACTCAGTTTTCTGAAGCTTCAGCTTGAAGCTTAATCCTGGTGGGATAATCCACGGGGGCTTCAGAAAGTTTGTGGACATAGTTTGTATTGTCTCTCAGTTCCATTTTTCCCCCCACAAATGTTTTGAAGTCCCGCTTCCTCATGTGTGTGTGACCACCAAGTTCAAATCAGTGACTTTCTCAGCATTGACCTTAACCCCGTGAAAGCTGTAGTTACAAGTTTCCTTTTGTAACAGCCTGACTGAGACCATTTGGGATCCATAGGACCAGTCTCTGGAGAAGGATGGCATGCGCCGTAAAGTTGGAGGGTCATCCCCAAAGAGGAAGACCCTTAACAAGATGGATTGGCACAGTGGCGTACGTGGGGTCATTATGCATTGGAACCAACCTAACAGCAGCTAACAAGTGTAGAAGTATAGAATTCAGTGGTTGTTAGCAGACTCACAAGGCACCGCAACCATCATTACTATTGAATTTCAGGATGCTACATCATGCCAGAAAGAACATCTGTACCCTTCAGCAGTTCCCCCTCCTTCCTCATAGTCCCTGGAAGCCACTAAGCTACTTTCCATCTCTCTGGTTCTGTGGTCTTTCGGGACTGATCTCTTTCAAAACTCAGCATAATGTTTCCAAAATCTCCTGATGTGGTGAGGTGGGAGCAGCATTGGACTTCGAACCACAGTTCAAACCCACCAGTACAGAGTCACTATGAGTCAGAACCAAGTCGACGGCACTTATAACAACAATAGCAGTGTTTTCAAGGTTCATTCGGGTTGTAGCAGGAATCAGTACTTTTGTCCACTGTATGGACAGACTGCGTTTTGCTTACTCATTTGTTGGTTGTTGGACACATGTGTTCTTTCCCCTTTTTGATTATTTGTGAATGATACTGCTGTGACAGTCTGTGTGTGTGTGTGTGTGTGTGTGTGCACAGATATTTAGTTCTCCGGAGTAAATTCCAGGAAGGGAATTGTTGAATTCATGAATGGTAACTTTTAACTAGAGTGTGGTGCTCTAGGTTAATGTGCTGAACTGCAAATTCAGATTGATCTGCAAGGTCAGCAGTTCAAGTGCACCAGCCTCTCCTTGGAAACCCTATACAGGGTCACTATGGGTTAGAACCAACTCAATGGCACTTAACCACAACACCAATTCTAGCTGAGGGAGTGCTAAACTGTTTTCCAAAGTGACTAAAACATTTTTACAATAGTACCTTTGATGTAAGGAACCTAGATGGGTTAGGCATTGGGTCGCTAACTGCAAGATCGGCAGTTCAAAGATGAGGCTGTCTGCTCACATAAAGATTTACAGTGTCAGAAACCCTATATAGAGTTGGACTTAATGGTAGTAGACGTGGTTCAGTTTTGGTTACTCCCAATGTCCACGATGGCCCCAATCTCTCCACACCCTCACCAACAGTGCCTTTCTTCATCTTGATTTCACCTATCCTTAAAAAATGTCCAACTCATAGCAACCCTATAGGACAGCCCCTTATGTAGTGGTTACAAATGAGGCTGCGAACCTTAAGGTCAGCAGTTCGAAACTACCAGCTGTTTCGTGGGAGAGAGATGAGGCTTTCTGCTCCCGTAAAGATTTATAGCCTCGGAAACCCTGTACAGGGTCGCTATGGGTCGGAACCGAGTCCATGACACATAACAACAACCACAATCTTTACGGACTCCTGGTGTGATGCTGTAAGATTAGCTCTGGATTGTGAACCTGGTGTGGTGCTGTGGATTAATGTGCTGGACTGCAAATTCAGATTCATCTGCAAGGTTGGCAGTTCAAACCCACCAGCCATTCCTTGGAAACCCTATATAGGGTCACTATGAGGCAGAACCGACTCAACAGCGCTTCACAACAACAACAACAACAACCTTTATGGAAGCAGACTGCCTCATCTTTCTCTCCCTCTCCCCGTCCTCCCAGTGGCTGGAGGGTTCGAGCCTTATAGCTAATGGTTGTGAGCACTTTAACAACTAAGCCTCCAGGGCTTCTCCTTAGCTGCTGAATAAGTTCCAACTCATAGTGACTCTACCTAGGGTTTCCAAGAGCGACTGGTGGGTTTGAACTGCCAACCTTAGAACTGCAGTTGGTTACCAGTCTAGTGCTTATCCTACAGAGCCACCTAAGTGTAAAATGGAATCTCATTTGAATGTCTTTGGTGGCTAATGATGTTGAGCACCTTTCCATGTGTTTATTGTTGTTGTTAAGTTCTGTCCAGTCGATTCCAACCCAGAGCGACCCTGTATAGGGTCTCCAAGGAGCAGCTGGTGAGCTTGAACTGCCGACCTTGTGGTTCAAACAGACTTTGCAGTCTGACGTATTAACCCACAGCGCCAGCCATTTTTTTTTAATCCTCTTTGGAGAAATGCTTATTCAAATCCCTTGCCCATTTTTGAATTGGGTCATTTGGCTCATTGGTTTTAAATATTTTCAAAATGTGATTATTTCACTTTATACATTGTATTTAATTCCTGAGATGTCAGAATCATAGACTTTTTAGACTGGAAAGGGTGATAAAAATTTAAAACCATCCTTCTCCATAAAATAGATGAGGAATCTGATGCTCAAAGTGGTCTCCACCAAGCTTGTTAATAGCTACACTGGAAACTCTAACTCTACACAACACCGGAGCTGTTTTGTGCTTTGTATTTGAATCAGGCCCCTCTCTTCCCGAGAAAACCCCTGTGATTTCATGATAGTAACGTCCAGAAGTGACAACTTGTACTAAGATGACAGACAAGGGGGCTAGTCTTGAAGCTACAGTAAACTAGTAAGAATACCATTTGTACCTAAATCAATCAAAACAGCAAAGTTTTTACAGATACTTCTAATTGGCCTTTACATCGGCTTTCTGGTTCTTAACGACTTCTATTCCGAGTTCACTTCTTAGTTATGTCGAGGTAGCACTGAAGAACTTGGGCTAAAGAACCTCCATCATTGAGTGGCAAAATAAGCCCATATTTCACTTGGAAATTCACTTACTGAAAGGCAGATCTCAGTGTATTGCATTTTGCCTGATGAATTGAAAGTGGGGGAAGGCTAGAATGGCATTTTAGAGCAGACTTTCTACCTGAAGTTTAGCAAGTGGGGAGACAGGAATGTTTGCCCAAGAGTCAGAAAGTTCCAACCTCTCTCTACCCACATCCAGAACAAGAAAACAATAATGAAAATATGGTTCAGACGAGAACAATATGATATGTTAGCATTCAGTAAGCCATCAGTGGTCACGTGTTGGGTTTTGAAGGCTGTTTGCCCACCCTTCCTGACCTTACTCAGTTTTCTAACAAAGGAGTGCGTGATAAAGCCCATGTTCATGTCTGAGTTGAGTTTTCTCCTGGTGTCTTGTGTTAATGCTGGTTTTTTTTATACGGGGACATCTGTGTGAACTGCCCCCTCCCCGCCCCCATCATCGTTGCTTTGATGGAAACAGTAACTCACGGATCACCTAGTTCATTGGGGAGGGGGACAGACTAATTCTTTTCACCCAGATTTCTAGCTGACAGTGTCTAAAAGAGTGGAAAGTTTTGATCTCCATCGGAGTGGGGGAATCATTGTTAAGTTGTAGCAGTTCCAGAAGGTTCCTGTGGCTTTATTATTGAAGCAGATACTGTGACTCAGAGACCTGAACCCGAAGACTTTGTTTCTATGTTATTGTTGTTAAGTACCATGAAGTTGGTTCCGATTCATAGTGACCCTGTACAGGGTTTCTGAGGCTGCAAATCTTTATGGGAGCAGAAAGCCTCATCTGTCTCCTACGGAACAGCTGGTAGTTTCGAACTGCCAACCTTGAGGTTAGCAGTCAGATTCATAATCACTATGCTAAACTGAAAGATTTCTAACAGAAAGATGTAAGCTCTGTGGTAGAACCACCTGGGGATCTGTTTCCATGAAGATTAGCCCACCGCCTTCAAGTAGATTCTGCCTCATAGGAGAGAGTGGAACTGCAACTCAGTCCCTGCCAAGGCAACCGCTATTCCAGCCATCACATTGTCCTTGTTAAGTGTCTTGAGTTGGTTCTGACTTATAGCGACCCTGTATAGGACTTCCAAGGAGCAGCTGGTGAGTTTGAACCGCTGACCTTGCGATGCAGTGCTGTATCTCACAGTACCAACACATTTGTTAAGTGCCATCGAGTCGGTTCCGACCCATAGCCATCACATTTGGGGTAAATTAATTAACTGTTTGACCAAACAGAGCATGCTAATTTTTTAAGTTGATAATTTTGTATGGCCTGTGAATGATGTTAGAAATTTTGGCAGAAAAACGGTCCCCAGGTAGCAAGTGGTTACGAATCAGTCTGCGAACCTCAAGGTCAGCAGTTCAAAACTACCAGCTGTTCTGGGGGAGAAAGATGAGGCTTTCTACTCCCATAAAGATTTATAGCCTCAGAAACCCTGTACAGGGTCGCTATGAGTCAGAACCGACTCCACGGCACTTAACAACAACAACAACAACAACCCTTCTTTACAGAAGTAATAGGCTGTCCCCTGAGGAGCTGCTGATGGGTTCAAACCTTTGGATTTGCAGCCCAAGCTTAACCCACTGTGCCAGCAGGGCTCCCCTATACAGAAGACCGCCTAGGAAACCCTATGAAGCAGGGCCTGTCAGCGGTCAACATGAATCAGAACTGGCTCCATGGTACCCAACAATAACAAGATGAGAAAAGTGTCAAATGTCTCTGATACTCAGAAACTAGTCTTCTGTTCATTGAATCATTATTCAGATGTCGTTGTTGTGACGTGCCATTGAGTCGATTCCGACCCATAGCGACCCTGTATAGGGTTTCCGAAGAGCAGCTGGTGAGCTTGAACTGCTCGCTGACCTTGCAGTTCAAACAGCTATGCAGTCTGGCGCATTAACCCACAGCTCCACACCAGGGCTCCATTATTCAGATAGGGGTGTGGATATTAAATTGCCTCAAAGAAATATTTGAAATATTTTAAGGTCTCATAGCATGATTTCAAAGCAGCTGAGGAATAAATATTTGATCCTCCCACCCCCAAGTTACCCAAATTAGTTTTCCTGAGAAAGTAGTCTTGGCACCTCTGTTAATTTTTTATGAGATTCTGGCTTCCCATTAACTGAAAAGGCGTGCCGCACTTAAAGGGTCAGGTGACTTGGAAGGACAGTTTCCTTACTCTTCTCTTTCCCTTTGTTTTAATCCATGACTTTTATCTAGCTTCCTTATTCAGATGCAAAATTAGCTAATTATGTCAGTGGTGACTAAATATTCAGCAAAATATTTTTCTTAGTAGTCCCCCCCCCCCCCAAACTTTCCAATAAGCCTCTTCCTTCTTTTCATTTGCAGTGTTTTTTAACCACTCAATCGGGACAGAAATGGGTATGCCGAGAAAAAGGCATAGAGGGCATAATTTTAAAGGAATTGTCTCGGTACAGTGGGGTCCCTGAGTGGTATCAATAGTTACTAACACATTCAGAAGATAACTGGAAGGTTGGGAATTCAGATTCTTCCAGAAGAACCTTGGAAGAAAGGCCTGGTGAACTGCTTTAAAAAAATAGTCAGTCACTGAAAACGCTGCAGACTGCAATTCTGCTTTGACACACATGGGGGCGCCATGAGTCAGCCTGGTGATGCAGCGGTTAAGTGCTGGGCTACTAACCAAAGGGTCAGCAGGGACCAGGAGAAACATCTCCTATCCAACATGCCTTAATGCCATGGAGTCGATTCCAACTCATAGCGACACTATATAGGGTTTCCCAGGAGCAACTGGTGGATTTGAACCGCTGACCTTGTAGTTCAACAATCCCGTGCTTACCTACAGCACCACCCCAGGACAGCCTAGAAACCCCTGTGTCACATGGGGCTGCTATGACATCATGCAGCAACAACAGTAGAACAGTAGTAGGAAGAGGAGGAAGGCTAGGAAGAAGGGGAAGACTGAGGGATAAGAAAGCAGTCTTATTAAGATTTATCCTGATTGGTCAATGAGGGTATTAAAGACTGTGAGTGGTCTTATGCAGTGCGGGACCAGAAGGATCAGGAATGGTAGATCAGAGGTCTAAAACCATCTACTGCAATCTCTCTTTGTTCAGATTAAGAGAACTGAGCTGTAGAGAGAAGTGACTTGTCCAGGGTCATCCGGTTTGTCACCATGATGGATGGAGATTGATAGATCTTAAAGCACTCACATAGTTTTTGTCACATGCCACAGAAGAGTGGGAGAGTTCTTCCCTTCTCACCATATCGTTCTAGAGGGAACAGATAGATGATGTAAGACAACCCAAATGGCTTAAGAATGGACTTTGGTTCAGCATGTGGTGGTTCTATAAATAGCTTTACAAATGAGGAAACGAGTTCAGTAAGAGAAGCGAATCACTGAAAATACTGTGGTTTCAGGAATGACTGAGCTGAATCCAGTAAAATGTCCACGCTTTCTGATTAATAAAAATGGTTAGACAGATCTATAGACCCAGATGAGCCAGACTGGTAGAAATGGATCCAGAATATGTTTTGAATGATGCTGATGTTTAATGCTGAGAGTTTTTATGGTGCAATGGTTAAGTGCTCAGCTGCTGACTGAAAAGTTGGCAGTTTGAACCTATTCAGTGGCTCCACGGTATAAAGACCTGGCAATCTGCTACTGTAAAAATTGTTGTTGAGTGCCGTTGAGTCAATTCCGACCCATAGCGACCCTGTACAGGGTTTCCAAGGAGCAGCTGGTGAGCTTGAACCACCAATCTTGTATTTCAAACAGCTTTGCAGTCTGGCACATTAAACCACAGAGCCACAACTTAGGAAAAACTGTGTGGGGATAGTTCTGTTCTGTCACATGAGTTAGAATGGATGTCATAGCACCCGACAACATGTTTAATCCGGACTGTTTTTAATAAATTACTTCATAGTCTTAATATGATTACATTTTGAACCATGTAGGACTCTATTCACATTCTAGATAAATGGATTTTTTTTTTTTTTTTGTGGTCACTTGGTATAAAGGGTCATGTAAATACTTGTTAGCCAAGTTTGACTAGAAAAACTCGGGAGCAAAGGGAAGAACTCTGTGTTGGATGTGTCTCTTTGCATATGTGAGTCTCTCACCTTTATAGAAAGATGTTGTCGAAGTCAGGTGTCGAGTTTGTTCCATCTCAGAGTAGCCCTACGTACAACAGACTGAAACTCTGTCTGGCCCTGCGCCATCCTCACAATTATTGTCATATTTGAGCTCATTGTTGCGGTCATTGTGTGAGTCCATCTCGTTGGGGTCTACTTTTTTGCTGATAGCCCACCCTACCAAACATGATGTCCTTTTCCAGAGATCGGTCCCTCCTGATAACATGTCCCAAAGCACATGAGACCAAGTCTCACAATCCTGGCTTCCAAGAAGCATTCTGGCAGCACTTCCAAGACGGATTGATTTGTTCTCTTGGCAGTCTATTGAATTTTCAGTTTTCTTTGCCAACACCACAATCCAAATACATCGATCAATTCTTCTCTGGTCTTTCTTATTCATTGTCCAGCTTTAGCAAGCATATGAGGTAAATGAAAATTGACATTTAAAAAATAATAAGAGATTTATTTTCAAATAATCTATTTTGAATTTTTGCTTTTTAGGATCTAGTTCAGGTTCAAAATGGAAACGTCCTGAACTGAGTCTCAAGGGTGTCCAGCACACCATGCAAGCAGGCCAGACGCTGTACCTGAAGTGCAGGTGAGCAATTGTGTTGGTTTAGGGATAATGGTTTGTTAAGTTTGCAAGATGAACCCGTTCTCCAGAAGTGAGGTAGCGGCAACTTCAGCAGTCCCTGCGAACTGAAAAACGCAAACTGTGTGTCTCCCGCTTCAGTTGTTGTTGTTAGGTGCCATTGAGTCGGTACCGACCCATAGCGACCTTATGCACAGCAGAACGAAACACTGCCTGATCCTGGGCCAACCTCACTACTGTTGCCACACTTGAGTCCATTGATTCTGCCACTTGGCCAATCCATCTCGTTGGGTGTCTTCCTCTTTTTTTCTGACCCTCCACCTTACCAAACACGATATCCTTCTCCATGGACTGAGGGTGAAATGCCAGGGTGTGGGTTGAGATGAGTTTCCTCAAGGGCAAGTGGAAAGGATTGCCCAACTATTTTTGCGTCTTTACTCTGAGTGCAGTTTAGAAGCGTTTCCTGAACGTGTTGCTTGTCTGTAAAGGGAGAGATGGTCATACCAGGATTAGCATTTCCTAATGAAAGCAATGAAGGCGGTGATGACTCCTTGATAGAACTCTTACCTGTCATGCGGGAGACCGGGTTCAGTGGATGTTCCACCTGTTTGTCACTGGAGGTTTGCATGTTGCTAGGATGAGGATCTCCCATACTAAATGACCTCTGGTGACACAGTGGTGACAGTGGTGACACGTGGTGACATGTGGTGACATGAGATGACACAGTGGTGACACGCGGTGACACCGTGGTGACACTCAATGACACAATGGTGACACGGTGGTCTGCTAACTGAAAGGAGGTTTGGTTTGACTCCACCAGTTACACCAAGGGAGAAAGATGAGGCTGTCTGCTTCCGTAAAGGATTTACAGCCTCGGAAACCTCGTGGGTCAGTTCTACTGTGTGTCCTAGGATTGTTGTCGTTGTTCGTTGTTAAGTGCTGTTGAGTCAGTTCCAACTCATAGCGACCCTGTTTAGGGTTTCCGAGGAGTGGCTTGTGAGTTTGAACCTTTTGGTTAGCAATGCTTATCCTACAGCACTGCACCAGGTCATTATGAGTTGGAATCAACTGGATGACAGGGGATTTGTTCATTCCAGACCAAGATGGATGAGGAAGGAAGGCCTGCTGCTCTGCTTTTGAAAATGAGCCAGTGGAAACTCTGTGAATCATAGCAGCAGTCTGATCGACAACTGATCATGAGGACAGCGTAGGGCCGGGTCACATTTCATTCCGCTGTCCATGGGGTTGCCGCAGTTGGGGGCTGAGTCAACGGCAGCCAACAATAATGGGATGAATATTTAGGAACTTATGTGGAGCCCTGGTCCCCAGCTCTGACTGTATTTTGTTTTCTTCTCTGTGGTCACAGGGGAGAGGCTGCCCATTCGTGGTCTCTGCCGGACACAGTGAATAAGGAAAGTAAAAAGCTGAGCATCACCAAGTCAGCCTGTGGGCGGAATGGTAGCCAGTTCTGCAGCACTTTGACCTTGACCGCGGCGCAGCCGGAACACACTGGCTTTTACAGCTGCAAGTATTTGTCTAAACCTGCTTCAAAGAAGACGAGAACAGAATCGGCCATCTATATATTTATCAATGGTAAGACTTGCATTTTTCTCACTTCTGCTTGCTGTGGTACCCAGAAGGAGCCCTGATGGCACAGTGGGTGCAGTGCTGGCCT